AACACAGCAATACAAACAAAACAAAACCTCCTTCAGGGCGGGCGGGCGGGAAATTCCTTGTCTGCTCCCGGTGTCTTCTCCTCAGGAATGATCCTGGTATCCACGTGCCACCCTCCTCCTGAAATCCCACCCCTCTAAGGTCCTCCTTCAAAACGGTAAGCCACCCCTACTACCTGTTTTCTGTATTTGTTTAACCCTTTGTGACTCTGGTTCCCCTTCTCCCCCTGTCATGTTGACCTTCCGCCCAATTCCCTCTTTTCCTTGGGCTCCATGTCTCTCTATACTGCCAGTGCCTCACTATATATATATTCATACAACCCCCAACTCCGGAAAAAGTTGGGACGCTGTGTAAAATCTACATAAAAACAGAATGCAATAATTTGCAAATCTCATAAACCCGGATTTTATTCACAATAGGAACTAGAAAACATATCATATGTTTAAACTGAGAACGTGGACCATTTGGAAAAAAAAAGATAAGGTAACTTTGAAATTAATGGCAGCAACAGGTCTCAAATAAGTTGGGACAGGGCAACAAAAAGCTGTCAAAGAAAGTGGTACTAACATGGAAGAGCTGGAAGAACATTTGGCAACTAATTAGGTTAAAGGAGAACTACGGGGTCAGGGCTTTTCCCCATAGTTCTCCTAAAGGTAACGGGAGGACACAAACTAGCATCCTCCCGTCACCCTAGGCTCAGTATACCGCGAGCTACAGCTCCCTATATACTGAGACGCCGCAGCTGAAACGGATCCCGACATTACTGTCTGGATCCACCCAGCTGCGTGAGTGACAGCTGGCTCTGCCTATCTAGAGGCAGAGCCAGCTGTAGCCGCCCCCTCCCCCGTCCGTTCCCGTCAGTCAGCGCTGGAGGATCGGGGCGGGGAGGGGGGTATCCAGTCCCTCCCCCGTCACGGCTCTCTGCAGTGACAGGATCGAGAAGTGAGCGAGCGCCGGTATGTGTTCGCTCACCTCCCGATCTACTGAGCCGGCCTGTGACAGTCTCATTGTCACAGGTCGGCTCAGATTATGAGGTGAGTGAAAAGCACCTCACCTCATGGTTCTCCTTTAATTGGTAACAGGTCAGCAACATGATTGGGTAAAAAAAGAGACTTAGAGAGTCAGAGTGTCTCAGAAGTAAAGATGGCCCGAGGGTCACCAATCTGTGAAAAGCTGAATCTAAAAATTGTCGAAAATTTTCAGAATAATGGACGTCGTGATTGACCCTGGATTACGTAGGTGGATCAATTTTTTTTTTGTTTTGTTTTATTTCAATTAAATGATTTTCCCTCATTTGCAAGGGAGGGGGTGCATATGGGTACCTCTTTATTAAAGGGGTACCCCAATGTGAATAGCCCCCCCCCATCCCTGCCCGCACCCCCACAACCAACGCCACAGGGCTTGTGGAAAGAGACACTTCTCCCCATCAGCATGGGGACAAGGTGCTTTTCCGGGGGAGACCCTGGAAAAGCACCCTCACAGTGCTGAGGGCATGTGGCCTGGTATGGCAGGGGGGGGGGGG